CACACACACACACACACACACACACACACACACACACACACACACACACACACACACACACATATATTCAACCCGAGGCAGTGATCTTGATCAACTAAACCAGTCGCCTGGCAGTCTCGAAGAGCTTTTTCAGCCCACCGCTTACTGGTCACAATTTCCAAATTTAACTCCTCTATCTCTGAGCCAGTAGTTTGTGCAAATGCAAGGCTTCAGTTGTAAAGAATGAGTTAATCCTAACTAAATAACTGTTGGTTGTCTCAGCGATGTACTACTGTGATGTACTATACTGCAGTGTACTATACATACGATGATACGAGATGGCTCCATCCAGCTTGAAATTCTCAGCGCACTCATATGTACAAGATGCCTCTTCAGAAGACATCAGCTCGACCACCTTTTGGATGACGCTGACTGGCCAGCTTGAGCCTGGAAGCTGACTAATCGACTACTAGCAGTCTGAAATACAAAATGAGTGCCAATGACAATTCGGAGTCTGAAAACTCTTTCTGAGCTGAACGAGTGAAATTCAGAACGGAGGGCATTGCATTGCATTGCATGCACAGGTACAATGAATGAAAAAAAGTCAGTTGCAAACAAGTATGTGTAATTCTTTGGTGAGGCATTGCAGTGCTACAGTCTCCACCTTAAACCAACACCCGGTCATTATTATTGCTGTACTTGCAATGGGGAAAAGTTATGTTTTCAATCTAGATACAGTGATAATGAATAGGCCTTCTATTCGGGCGAAGATGGTAGGTAGCTGAAAGCTCTTGTGCTAGATACCCACAAGAGAAAAATCACCATCGAAGGCTTACTAGTCTTCACCTGTATTCAATGCCTGGCCATTATTATATCTGCATTTCGGGAAAGTTTCAGTCTAGATACAACGATAGTGACCAGGGTGTTCTAATCGGGCGAATATGGTAGGTAGTTGAAGTCTATTGTGCTAGGTAACCACATGAGATAAATTGCCGTCTCAGGCTCAGCAGAATCATCATCAGAAAACTGCACCTAGATGCTGTGGATGTAGGAGGAGGAAACATAGCATTAGGCTAAGCCCATTGCTCTTCCTTGTTCCTCCCCCTTCCCCCCCCTTCCCGCCCCCCTCCCCCCCCTTCATCCATTTCATTGGAAGCATGCAGGAGAGTTATCTGATGATGAGTCCTGCTGACCCTCACTCACCGAGTCGGTGAGTTTGACAGTACTTTTGATTCCCGGGGCTGTGGACTGAGTCAGTGAGTTTCACTTCACAAGCACTTTCGCCAAGTACGAGGAGAGCCGCGCCTTAAGTTGGCCTTCGTCCATCGTCATCCTTGACTGATGGCGAGTTTCACTTTGCTAGCGATTGCATCAAATGTGGGTAGAATCGCCCCTTCACCATCCGCCATGGTTGGCCGCTTGCTTCTGTCCAAATTTGCACAGCGCAGCCCCAACTGCGCCACCTGCAATGCCAGATCAACGTCCCAGACTCCTGCCCCTTCGGGTCCAGAGCACTTGGAAAAATGGCAGCATCTTTCACAGCATTTTCAATGGCTCCCACCGCATCCTGAAAGTTTCCGGTTAACGTCTCCAGCATTGTGATGCCGAATGAGTAAATGTGGGTCTTCTCGTGAAAGACTCTATTACACATTAGCGTATGTGGATAAACACATTTTCAATGCTTGTGATGGGGCAAGCAACGCCACATCAACCTCGCTGCTTTTAACTGCCAATTTGCTATCCAGAAAGATGTTTTCTGGCTTGATGGCGCGGTGGATGACCGGACCACCACCATCGACTAACTGAGTGGAGTGAAGGAAGAATAGGGCCTCAGCCACCTCCGCCAGAACCCGGAGAAGTACATGCCAAGACAGGACTCGGAATCCGCCCCCCTGCTCGTCAGCCTTTGAACAGCACAGGAGATAATTCCGTTTTTCTTTGATTTCCATTGGCCACGTGCTCATTCACTAGCAGGCAGTTTTCCTCGTAGCACACTCCCAGGAGGGTCTGCAAGTTCGGGTGGCGAAGAGACTTCACAACTCCTGAATCATCTCCCTCTTCAACTTGACGTTCTGATTCCACATCTTCTCACCAGCTTTGAATGTCTTCCCTAATACTCCCTTACTCCCTAATACTCTAAAGCAAAACCCGGGTCTTGCGTGACGGTCCCACGAGAGACCCGGTTCTGTGGTGTGGCACTTCGGGGGGAGGGGCGCGGTGGGCCCAGCGGCAGGTCGCCCAGCGGCAGGTCGTGTCGTTTCACGGCCCAGCCGCACGATCGGTTAGCTGTTCGAGGCAGCGACAGGCGGTATCAGGCCGCGGGGGGTTCTATTTTGGCGGGGGGATTTGTGGTCTCCGTTCGCGGTTTCGTCCATGCACGGGGACGGGGTTTCGGGGTGGTTTCGTCCATGCACGGGGACGCGGTTTCGGGGTGGTGGCGAGCCGACGGGACCGCATGACAGGGCAGGACATGGAAATATACCTACTACACGTGTGTGTGTGTGTGTGTGTGTGGACCGAGGTGAGTTCATACATGGTTGCTTTTTTTTTTCTCTCTCTCTCTTTTGGCTCGTTTTTTTCGGTTCTTTTGGGTTTTTTTTTTTTTTTTTTNAGAGAGAGAGAGAGAGAGAGAGAGAGAGAGAGAGAGAGAGAGAGAGAGAGAGAGAGAGAGAGAGATTGGATGAGATACACATCGTCGAACAGCTAAGTGTCCAACCCCTGGGCTGGCCTCACGCTACTTGCATCGATTGTATTGATAGATTAGCAAAATTGAATGAATCTTGCGCCAGGACATGGAAATATACCTACTACATGTGTATGTGTGTGTGTGTGTGTGTGTGTGTGTGTGTGTGTGTGTGTGTGGACCGAGGTGAGTACATACATGGTTGCTTTTTTTTTTCTCTCTCTCTCTCTTTTGGCTCGGTTTTTTCAGGTTTTCAGTTTTTTTTCTTTTTTCTTTTTTTTGGGGCAGGGGAGGGCGCCGGGATCGCAAGTGTGGGGGAGCAGGGGGAGCGGGAGTCGAAATCGGGGAAGGAGGGGGAGAGGAAGGGGAGTCGGAATCGGAGCGTCGGGATCGCAAGGGAGGGGGGAGGAGGGGGAGCAGGGGCAGGCGGGATTGAGGAAAGAGGGGGAGCAGAGGGAGGAGTCAGGATCGAGGGAGGGGAGGGGGAATCGATGGCGACGATGTAGGGACTCTGAGGATGGAAGGAGGAAGAGGAGGGAGGAGGAAGGAGGGCATTGACGATAGATGGAGGGAGGAGGAGGGTGGGGCAGGGAGAGAGGGTGAGGAGGAGGGAGGAGGGAGTTCGGAGGAGGAGGGACGAGGGAGGAGGAGGAGAGAGGAGTAGGGAGGAGGAGGAAGGAGGAGGAGGGAGAATGCAGAACGGAGGATGGAGGACTCGGAGGAGGACAAAATCGAGGGGTGGATGCAAAGAGAAGAAGGAGATGGTGGAGAATGCGTGGGAGGAAGAGGAGGTGGCGGAAGAGGATGAGGTGGCGGCTGAGGTCGCAGAGGACAAGCAGGAGAGAGGGACATGGCGGAGGAGGATGGATGAGGTAGCTGGGGCGGACCAGGAGGGCGAAGAGGGGAGGTGCAGAACTGGGAGGAGGTGGGGGACCAAGATGAAGTGGCGGAGGAGAATGGGATGGTAGAGGAGGGGAAGGTGGGAGGGGAGGGAAGATTCATTCCGTTTTTGCTCATCCTATCGATGGAATGTGTGTGTGTGTGTGTGTGTGTGTGTGTGTGTGTGTGTGTGTG